AAAAACTAGGACTTGGTTATTGTGATTGCAATGATGTTTCATAAATCCCTGTGACAATGGATGCTAGGGCAAAGGCTACAGGTATTTATGAGCACTGGCAACTAGCTGAAATAAAATGAATGGAATGTTATTTAAACCAGTATTGCAAGCAATTTTAACAGACATTTTCCTGGCAAGCTATTGGGGAAGCAACAGACTTTAAATGTTCTGATTGATGTTGATAAGTGATGATGTTGTTTGTATGTGGATGTCACGTATCTAGTGGTATTTTTTTTGTCTGGTTCCCTGTCAGGGATTCCCTTGCGAAGAGAACCCTGAAGGCGATGACCCCTGGACAGAGAAGGCAGGGGAACCCCAAGTACCAAAGATGACTGAGAGCTGAAGATGGCTCATAGGAGTTTTACTTACAGAAAATGTTCTGAGGGCATAACAAAAAATGATTGGTCTAGAGATAAACCAATCAGATTGATGAGGAGGTGAGCCCAAGCAACTAGAGGAGGCAGGACCAACAAATAATATGTCTTGGTCCCACCTCCTCTACTTGCTTGGACCCACCTCCTCTTCAATCTGATTGGTTATCTCTCTGAACCAATCATTTTTGTTTCTGCCCTCAGAACATTTTCGTGTAAGTAACTCCCAGGAATCTGAATAAGCTTGGAGGTACAGGGACCAAAGTGTGCCAGCTGGTACTGTATTTGTGCTGAGGGCTCTGTGTAATGGGTTACATGTAAACCATTTGGGGTGAAGTCATTTGCCAGACAAGTAAATAACATAATTACACGTATTGCTGCATCAAGGGGTCTTTCTGCTTCAAAAAAAGACAGCTAGTTTAACTGAGTAATTGCTCACAAACATCTGAAATCCTTTAAGTGCTGTTGGCCTTCAGGACTAGAATGAAAGAGATCTGGCCAGTCCCTGTCTTGCACATGAATTTGCTGGGGCGGCCGTGTTTGTTAATGTCATATTCATGTAGTAGTACTTACCGATGGTCTTTATATGGGTGTAACTGGTTTGATTTGTGTTGATATTATTGAAATACTTGCGTTGATTATTTGGGAATACCTACTATGCAAATCTATGTCCATATTGATGCACTGTATATGTCCATTCTGGGGGCGATGTGTGGCTCATTTGGTTAGGACACTCTGAAGGTCTCTGCTTAAAATCCTAGACCGGCAGAGTGATTTCAATGTTGGGTCTTTGCGAGGTCTTTAACCCCCAGTTGTCTGACCCTGCTTTCTCAGAACTGTACATCATTAGGATAAAAGCATCTACTAAATTAATAAAATGTAAATTCCTATTTCTTCATACCTAAATTCCCATGTGTTCTCATTTCTGAATGACTTGTGTGTCCTGCTCTCTGAATGCTTGACACGGTGCCATCTGTAAAGCCTGTGTTCTAACACAAAGAAGGGCTAAGCTACACGTTTCTTTATGTACGACATTTCTGACCATATAGCACAATTGTATCAAACAAAATTTCCCCCAATCAGGATGTTTGGCAGTAAAAGTTTCTGTTCCATTCTACTTTGTGATGCCATCTGCTGAGAGAAGGTCCGGTGAGGACCATCTCGCTGTTTTGTGAGGAGGCACTCCCGGTGAGGACCATTTCACCTCTCTTGCACTTCACCCACCATCTCAAGGAGGCCCGGGTGGGCTGGAGCTACACTGAGGAGCTGTTCTTCAGCCTGGATGGCTGCCTCTGTTCCACCATGCATCTTCCTGGCTGACTGTACCGAGCTAGTCGTCCACCTGGCGGAATAGACCAGCCGTCTCAGACCTCCTCCATCTACACCCACACTGATGTGAAGTGGACACTGTTTGCTGGCCCTAGACTGCCTCTCCCGGCTTTGTGAAGGCGGAGTTACTGGGAAAGCTGTAGGCAAAGGAAATGAAGGAGACTGGAAGACTTAAAGAACTTTCTGAATCAATGCAGTCCAGGAAAGCAGGGCTCTGAACCTAATACTCATTCCCGTTTTCCCATAATGCTCCAGTAGAATTCCACACTAGAGAGTAATCGCAGGCATGCACCTTATTAATCTCAGTGCAGTAGTATGGAGAGCACTGTTCCATGTCTTTTCACGCGCAAGAGGAGAAACCGTTCCGGTATCCGAGACCTAAATGACCAGCACTGAATATCTGGCCAGGAAACTCACCCACTTAACAGCAGACGGCAGATTCTGTTGGAACCTGGTTAGGACCGTTTTCCTTCTGGATGGAGACACTTCATCTATATTGATTTCTTGTACATAGTAACATTTCTATTCTGCTTGACTTTGAGCCAATTGATGCATAATAGTTTCCTTTCAGTGTTAATATAATATTGGAAATATAATTGAATGAACTGCATCTAAGACAGGACCTTAACAGGGTTGAGCGCGTCTTTGATATCAGACACATTGCATTTGTTTTAGCTTCATTTGACTTTTCCTGCCATGGACAGATCTGATCTTTGATACTTTGAATCTGTTTACTATAAGGAAATGTTTCTTACACTTGATGGCCAAGTTTGACTTCCAATAGACTTCCACTGTTTTGATTTTGAAAAAGAATCACCACGAGTATCCTGGTTTGTAGGGTTATGGGTTTAGTTAGTGTTTTACCCTTTTTATCTCTGCTTAAACACCAACAAAAGCATTATTCCACAACCATTTAAAAGCCTTAAATTAAAGTTCATAATAGTCACTTCAGATAAGGATTATTTAAATAAGTGTTTCTCAAACTGGTCCTTGGGGACCCCCTGACAGACCCCCCTGTTTTTCCTCCCTCCCAGCTCCCTACTGGGAAAAAAATGTAGACTGGGAGCTCGGATGGAGCAAAAATGTGGAGTGTCTGGGGGTCCCTGAAGAGCTGGTTGAAAAACGCTGTGGGGGGGTCAGTCATTGATGTTTGACACCTGAGCAGGGTGACCGCAGCCTGCAGTTTATCCCAGCCTGCCGCTGTGGATCTGGATGCCAGTATTAATATGCTGTGCTCCCAGAATGCCTTGCTGGCGTCGACCTTCCCTGTACACCATGCTACAGGAAACTGGAAACAGGCTTTCGGATTTTCCCTGGGTGAAGATCTGGAAGTGCATCTGACATTGGGACAACACATGGAAATAGACAGAGGTGAAATTACATCACTCAAAATAGATTTAATCTGAACAGAAACATTGTGGGAGAGGGGCCAGCTTAATACTGTCACCTTTCCCTGCTAAGAAAGTGACCCCAGGCTAAGACCTTTGCTATATAAATATACTATAATCCAATTTAAGAATCCACAATGCAGAAAAGGTGAAAAATAGTGAACATCATCATCAGCACTGATCTGTCGTCCTTCAATTAACGGGGGTTATTAAGGATTTCGATAGGGGAAAGAGGTTGTAAATGCCCCTTCAGGCAATTACAGGACTACTCCCTTCAGGAATGTGTGTGTGTGTGTGTGTGTGTGGGTGTTGGGGGGGGGGGTCGGTCTTTGTAATGGTTGGCTGCCACTGGCTTATTGATTCGGGTAATCAGCCCCTGATAAGCGGCTCGCTGCAAACAGAATAGCCTGCCGTTTGATCTTCTGTAGATTTATTTTACTGTAGCGCCCTGGTCACTCAGTTTTATTAGCTCTTTAAATTGGATAGCTGCAGTGTTCAGATGCAGAGTTCATCTTAATTGGATAAGCTTGTAAATTGGTTTGTAAATTATTTTAACTGTTTAAGAACAGAGGATCGTCATTCACTGTCATTAACGCTACAGCGTGGTATTGATACCACCACTAGATGGAGCCAGACAACAATGGGGGATTTAACTGGAATTCTTGGGTAATTTGTCACATCAGTTACTGAAGTTAATTTATAAGTTTACAAAAATATGTCTGGGGAAAGCATAAACGAAGGACGGACTGTGCTTTTGTATCAATATCCAAATCAAAATCAAAAGACAGAACAAAATGTTTTATGTTTAAAACATCTAGCGTCCTAAGCGAACTAATAACCTGGGACTTTCTCGCCCCACCATTTAAAGAAGTAACATTAAAATAGTTGAGCATGAAGGACGGACAACGTAGAGTTTATTTAAGCAGGAAAGTGAAGTTAAACATTATATTTGACGCCCAGTGAGTTACTCGATACATTAAAACATTGACAAATTCCAACCAGGACGGTGGAATGAATTGGCTGGAAAATAAACTGGTGGACAAGCTGTCTAACATATATCACATTTTACACTCCAGTCCCATGAATCTTATGAATGATCTTTTCTCATTGTGAATTGTGATATGACCTGACACTGGATGTTTGATTTGTTAGGGGCTGGTCACTTTTCATTCAAAAATGGCACACACAGGGTTAATTAAAAGCTCCGATTACAGTGCAAACTTTTTAAAGCAAGTTACAACGGGAAGTGACCTTTATAAGATAGATGAATAGAGATGTCAGGAACTAAAAGTTCTAGCAAGTTTATATAGTTCTTTGGAGAGATAGTGTTGAAAGGTGGTTTTAATGACGTGGTTTTGGTTATACTGACGTCATTAATACCCCACCCCAGGCAGCAGTAGGACTGTACGGGATGCTGGGCTATTTTTAGACTCTCAACCCAAGCAGATTCCTTTCGCAGTAAAACGCCGTGGCCTTTGACCCCACAGTCCGCATTGAACGTTGTGAATGTGATTCTACCTTGGTCATGCGATTTATTTTGGGGTTTTGTCCTGGGAATAAATATTAAAAGTGACAGTTTGTGGCTGAGCTATGCGAAAATAACGAGTAAATGTTACAATAATCGACACATTAGTAACGTTAAGAAAGAGAACCAGATTTTAGCATTTTTATTTACTTATTGTTTTGAAATGTCTGTTTGCGCCACTTAAACCAGCCATGGACTTTATGTTATGTTGAAAAAATGCACAAGTCTGGTGTGGTAAAGCCATGTAAGGACGCAAGGAAAATCATAAATCCGCAGACGACAGCAATCGGGAAATGCTTTCCATTAAACCCCCAGCCACAGCGTATCGAATTGCGCAGTTTTCCCAAACGCGGCCAGCGGTGCTGCTCGGTCCACCTTTTATTGGTCGAACCTCCCATTACCGCCGGACTTCCCTTTTATCACCTTGAATAACAAAAAGAGACTTTGTTGGCAAGGGGAAAAATGTCTCTGCTTTTTCAAACGTCTTAGTTAGGTTACAAGTGGGTGTTTGAAAGAGCCTTCACTATCAATGTACTGGGCGGGTGTTTGAACTGGAATCCCCGTATATGATTTTCTTACGCAGGTCCGGGAAGGGAGGAGGATGGATGGAAGGGGAAGGTGGTACAGTGACTGGCAGGTAGCGAAGCGATGCACATAGCTTTGATAAATCCAGAATCGTATTTTTAGGCTTGAGACGTGGACTGGTTGGAGAAACGGTGATCAGGGAGAGACGGACCTAAAGGCGGGTTGGGGGCGGAAGCTGCTGTGCGTTTGGCTCACGAAAAGGCTTCAACAGCATCTGCAGTGGAGCAGAGCAACTAGACCCCACTCCCAAATAAACAAATAATTACGATGATAAAAATATAAACGACTGGAAGGTAATTCTGATGTTCAGAAGATAATATGTGCTTTTCGTATAGTTGATGTTTTCCAAAGAGGAAAGCAGGGGAAATCATCTTTTTGTTTTGTTTTGTTTTGCTTTGTTTTTTAACTCCATGCCCGCCGGCGAAGAGCAGACAGACGAGCCGGGAGTAATGTGACTGTCATCGCTCCTGCACGCCACTCCGCTCTTCATTTTTACCGTAACCAGCCTGGACCTAAACTATTTCAATGTATTTATTTCTTTTTATCTTTCTAATCCACCCTTCCTTTTACTTTTGAAGAGGATCCGGCGTTTCGTGACTTTGTCCCTGTTGAGGAGACCATCCACAGCACGCCGAACCCCCTCGCCATCTCCTCCCCTCGATCGTTTACTGCGCTCCGGCAGCGGCAGATCTTCGCCTTAACCCCGGCGGAATCGATCTGAGTAACCGGCCGCGTCGAGAGGCGATATTTCCGCGAGTAGCCCGCGGGCTCGGGGCGATCCCGTTTCTCGTGTCGCGAACCCTAAAGGCGGGTGCTCACTGCCGCTGGATGGTCCGGTGTTCGCGGCTTGCCGGCGCGCCGATGCTCGGCTCGCTCGCGGTTATGAGCCGCGGAGGACTGTTAGCGTAGCCTAGCCTAGCCTAGACAGCCGCTAGGAAACACGGTCTTAGCCTAGCCTAGCCGTCAGGAAACACAAGGCATCGGCGAAGATAACCGGCGTGCGGCGCTGAGCGCGCACTGACACTTATTTACATCACATCGAACTCATACATGTATACAGACAACAATTTGTATCTAGACGAATAAGTTTCGGCGGCGACTAGGCATAGTTTTTTTCCGGCGCGGCATGGCGGAGAACAGCCGGCAGAAACACGGGGACGGCGGCGGTGGCGGCAGCCCCAGCTCCAGCCCGCCGTCGGGGCGCAGGAAGGCGCAGCAGTCCCCGGGAGCCCGAGCGCGGTGCCGGCTGGCCGGACCGGGACACAGCTTCAGGAGGGTGACCCTGACCAAGCCCACCTTCTGCCACCACTGCAGCGACTTCATATGGGGGCTGGTGGGCTTCCTGTGCGAAGGTGACTTTTCGGCGCTTTTTCTTTGTTAAATGTTGATAAACAGTTGCCTGTTACAGTTACTAGTAAACTATACAATGTATATACATTATACCAAACATGCAGGTACGGAAGGTACCGAAGCCCCGCTTTCAGATTTGTCTCGGAGATCTGTTTATCTATTTTTTTAATAATAATAATAATAATAATAATATTTTTTAAATAAATCGATGTTTCTTTAGGTAAGTGTGGTATAGCCTATATAGGTCAGTTTTTCCTATTCCCACATTTTGTGACTTGAATAAATATGGATCTGCTTGAGGGATTTGCAGATGTCTCAGGCCCCTTTGTGGTTGTGAGATAAGCTGCTGTAATATTCATGATTTGCAGTTTCACCATAAATGCGACTCTCACGTTGACTAAACGCAGGACAGAGTGTTGCAGCATGACGGGAGTCATCGACGAAAAGTGCTTTGCACTTGCGTCACGAGTGTGCCTAGAGGTTTAGTGTGGGTTGTCTTCTGGTTCTTTGCTAAGATGGTAATTGCCGCGGCTTTCTTTTCATTAGGAGTTAATCTTAGTAGGAAACCTGCTGTCCTGGCTGAAATTTGCCAGCCTCACCCAAGCGGCATGCTAAGCGTACCGATGGGGTTGAACCGGTGAAAAAATGAGCCTTTCAGGAAGCCTGGAATGTGTAAGACTGTCATGTAGTGCGACCAGTCTCTGGTGGGTCAATCCTGGAAGCCTGGACCTCCAGAGATATTCCACCCCCCCACGCCTTCATCCACAGCCCCATCTTCCCAGGTGTGGCCTGCGTATTCAGACAGGACAGAATCATTGCGTGTGCAATGATCACAGCTGTGAAGCATCACAGGAGCTCCACACCCTCACTTCTTACTCATTGACAAAACGAGTCTGTTTGTGTTGATTGACAGAGGAGAAGGAGCTTTGTACAGTTTGGCTTTCCGGCACCATAAGGGCTTTGGTTGTGTTTGCATTAACAAAGATTACTTTGTTACTTAAATTACTTAAGGCTTTCAGCATTCAGGTGTCCTATGCTGCAGTTGCGGAGAGTGATTTGTATATTAAAAATGTTGCAAGAATACATATAGATTACATACAAATGGATTTTTCTGGCTCCTTAGGGCTGCTACACACACGGTCTGTTTTATTGGGTAGGGAAACCAGCCTTAATGAATTTTATGAAAAATGTAGCTGGTAAGTGTATTTTGCAGGATGCTGGTACAGATGCCAGTGATGTTTGCAGGTGTTACAGAGCGCTGGGCCGTAAGGCAGTGTGATGTGCTTGATTGGAGTCCCGTTTGGCGGTTAAGGGGCTGGGAGATGTGGGATGGTGCAGTGGTGTTTAAGGTGTCAGACCATCAGCCCTATGCTGCTTCACGCTCCATTTCTGGACACATCAGCACCATGTTACAAACTGTCGGCCCGCTCACGGTCACGCCTGCCTTATCTTTCCTCTCACCCGCAGTGAGCTTGCACTCGAAGGCAAGCGTCGAAGGCGACGCGGAGTGTTAGCTAGACACTGGGTTACCTTCTATACATTCTTTGGACTCTAGGGGAGATCAGTTTCTACCCCATTTAGCATAATTATAATATGAAGGAGCATATGGTTCACAGTCAGGAAGGCTGCGGTCTGTCACAACATATAATGGTGTGGCTTGAAATACCTTTGGCTTAAAAATCATGGCTGTGCTGTTGTTAAAGAAAATATCTAATGGTGAGGACTTAGAGGCCCGTGCTGCTGTTAGTCGTCTGACTGATGGGATGTTTTAACAAAAGCCTCCAGTCTGTAGAAGTCGAACATTGATGTAATCAAGTTTTCAGTCTGCTGGGTCGTTATGGCTGTCACAGACACCAGCTCCGGCAAAATGACCGCAGCTTCAGCCACCCCTGAATGACGAGCTGCTGGCATCTGTTCCCTGCGTATTTCACCGTGCCCTGTTTTCATCCCGCTGTGGAGCGGGAGACGATCTGTGGTCTCGATTTAGTGAGCGGGGGCACCTCCGAGGGATCTGGAGCCGTGCATCCCCGACAGCCGCCTGACAGCGGGAAGCGTTAATCTCATTTAGCTCGTCACGAGGCCGGGAGAGTCTCTGTCTCCCTGTCCGATGCTTTCTCGGCTAGGCTGGCGGGGAGTGCGGTCCGCTTTTGCAGTGTCAGTGTTACCCAGACCCGTTGCTGACCGGCTACGGTAATCCAAAACCGCGGCTCTCTTCCTCTCGCCCAGGGCCCTGGGGGGCCACACGCAACCCCTCTTCCTCTTTTTACAGCCAGCTGGATAATATCGCGGCAAGCCACCCGCCCTCCATTTGGGCCCACTGCTGATGTGGAGTTTAGAGGTTATCAGTTGTCAGCAAACGGCGGTGCTGGCTTGGGTGGCTTCAGTTATGGCCTTGTGGGTGAGATATCCGAAATGCTCTACACCCTGATTGCCCTGCTACTTAGGTTAAAGTTCGAGCCGCTCTTGGCTGACTGCGGAGGCTGGATGTAGATGTATGGGTCCAATGAGGGGCTTGAGGTCTGTTCTGCCAGGTGAGGTGTCCCTGGTTTCTGGGGGGGGCGTCACTGGCATGTTCGTGCACGTGTGCGTCTTCGCCGCTTGGAGCTGGGTTTTGTCGCTCCGCATTTCCACCTTCACACATGGCGGTTTGTTAATTCTAGAAATCTAAAGCCCTCAGACAAAATGCAGAAGTGGCCCCTTAAAGTCTTAATGGCAGAGTTTGACAGGAGCGTGCCAAGTTTCGGCCCGGGAGCCGAGCGAGGCTAAGAAAATGGATGGCATTGGAGTGCGACGCAGACGGCTGAGGAGGCGGAGCCCCGGCAAGGGATGCCCAGTCGCCATGACGGTGTTGCTAGGCAGACGCCGATGGAGCTGCTGTTGTGTAACGCCTTGCAGCTGAGTCGTGATTGACTCCTGTGGTTGTCATGGCAACGGTTCGTTCGCCGAATGGAGGGGATGCCAAAGCTGGGGGTGGGGGGGTTCTTTGAGTATTGTGAACAGGGTCTGTCTCTTGGCTACACAGCAGAAGTGCAGAGGCCGGAGGCCGGGGCTTCGTTGTAACTTTGCGAGGCGTCTTGAACCAGAGCGTGTAAACAGTGTGTGGTCTGCATGCTATATGGGCTTATGGAGACCCAAGACCTGGGTAATAAAGACATTTTCACAGCCTGACATGAAGGACGTGGCCAGTTTGCACAGAATCGGTGGCTACCCTGCTTCAGGCTCGGCGATGCTTCTGGGACCCTGTGACTTTTCCCCCCATTTGCTCATCAGTACCGGCTCAACATTAATTACCCAGAAGGCTGTTTGTCATGCTGAGCGATAAGTCCGATTAAGGGCCCCTGCCGCTGAGAGAGATCAGCCTCCGTCCTTTACAGAGGGAAACTCCGTGTCCTGCCCTTCAAACAGATGCAGTCCCGGCACAGGCTTGGGATTCAGCCTTTGTCTTTAATCAAAGGAAACGCCAGTCTAAGGAAGCGGCAACCCAGGAAGGGCCTTTGATAACTAGGAAGATGGTTGATCTTTTGAGGAATCCCTACGGCTCCCCATCAGCAGTGGAGAGTGCGCCTGAAACTCCTAATGCTACATTTATTACCATGTTACAGCGTTTCGTCATTGGTACGTCTGATGGGTATGAAAACCGTAACTTGGCTTCTGTGGGATGTCCGGCTGGTGTTCCTCGCTTGGGAAGGGTTTCTTCGTATGCATCGATGGCTCATTCACGACATCGTCGTTGCCTGCCCCCCCAACCTTCTCCGCACGGCCCTGTTAGCTGTGAGCTTGCCTGAGGAGGTAACAAAGGTGTAATTAAATCTGGGAGAAAAAGACAGCTTTTTAGGGCGTGGCGACGATCCCCTCTGGGCTTTGGGGTCTCTCCAGTGAGCAACATAACCAGACCCACAGGGATCAAGGGCAGGAATAACGGGAATGACTCGACCCCCCCTTGTAGGAATAAATGCTCCCCCCCCTGACTTTCTCACATGCTTCCTCTGAAATCCAGCCGCCACCGCTCTGAGCATGCTGCTCTCCATCTAGGCATCGGGGGGGGGGGGGGCTGCTGCTCGGTTGGGTAAAGGTTTGCCAGGTTGAAGCCTTGATTTTTGGGCCTGCTAGCATGTTAACGAACAGACGTTCACCGTTGTCGGAATGTGCATATAGGCCAAACCTACCATCGGTGTTTCCCAGATTGTGGGGGCGGTGTGTGTGGCTCGGCGGGTTAGGGCACTGTGCCTGTAACCGGAAGGTTGCCAGTTCAAATCCCAGACTTGGCAGAACCAGTCTTTCAATGTCCCTGTTTTGACCCCATGCCTTTTTTTTGTTACAGCTGATGATATGATAGTGATATGTGTCCTGCTTGAAGTGCCTAATTTAGTTTGGCCCTCGCCCCCCCACAGTGTGCAACTTCATGTCCCATGAGAAGTGCCTGAAGCTGGTGAAGGCTGCGTGTTCCTGCATGGCGCCCTCTCTGGTGCGGGTGAGTGCTGCAGTCGCCGTCGGGTCCGTGAGCCCCACCCTGTTTGCTGACAATTCTGAAAAACATTTGTCTTACGGTGTTTCCGTCTTGCCTGCTGACCTTACTCTGACCTCCTGGAAGCTTCTTCTAGTTGAGCTGTGCAGTGTCAGAAGAAAAAGTACTAATTTATACCTTTGCTTGTCACTGGGGTTGTACCCTTAAGGGTCTGCCAATTGTACCTTAACTGTAGGTAAATGTACCTTTCAGTCTAATTTTAGGTACAGAAATGGACTCTGAGGAACATCCCCAAGGTACAAGCAACATTAATGTATCCCCATTGATACAAAAATGTTCCTCAGAGTCCATTTCTGTATCTTAAAAGCTACATTTATCTACAGCCAGGGTACAGATGGTAAATTAGTTAACGCCTGGCACTGCCAGAATCCCCGATTCGAGAAAGCAGGGTATGTGGAGGTAGCCTGTCGGGCTTCGGCTGGTCCACCCAAACGCCGTTCATGCTTGGGCCTGCAAACCTGCTGTCAAGCAGGTGCTCTTGACGACCAGCTGCGTTTGATTGGACAGACAGAGAGGGGGAGGCTTGTAGCCCCGATTAACAGACCGTGACGTGAATGTTGAGGTGGCTGCAAGCCTAAAGTGTCCCATCTTGGGCTGTCCAAGAGTTATAAATCAGAATGCTGAAGACCTACATCCAAAGTCAACTTTCTTCCTCGAAGAAGCAATAAAATTTAGTAATGCGACTGGAAAAGCACTAGCGAGGGATCTCCAAAAATACTTCTGAGCAGAAAGCAGTCTGGAGGAGTCCAATGGCAGAAAACTCTGTGCGTGGGGCGTTGCAAGGTCAGCTGGGTCCTTGTATTTCTAAGAATGACCCACTGTTTGGCTCCATTGTTATTTTTATCTTCCCCGCTTATTCAAATATGAAAATTCAAGCGTGGGCTAGAGAACCTGGTGAAACTCGGCGGAGCCGACTGCCAAGGAGGAAGTTGGACACGCGTGTTAATGTCAGCAGCGTTAACGCGGATCTGAAAGAACGTGGAAAGCCCTCTTATCGGTCGAGTAGGATGTGTAATCTGAGTCAGCCTGTTAGTATTTTGAAAGTAAAGCCTTTTTTTCTAGTGATGTCAGTATGTGAGATAAGCACATCAAACAGCATTAGAGCATCAAGGTGAATGCATGATGTGTAGGTCCTGTGTACTGCTTCCTACCATGCAAGGTGGCATGATATTACTCGGTGTATCACAGCAGTATGATGCACCTTATGATGTGTAGGTCCTGTGTACTGCTTCCTACCATACAAGGTGGTGATTACTCTGTCATCGGGAAAAAAACTTAGCAAGCTCTGCAATTTCAAGTATTCCTTTTATAGATGATCTAATTTATGTTTAAAAATCAGTGTAAATTTGACCTCTGCTGCTTTTTGTATGAGCGCTGCAAGTTCTCTGAAACAATCGTAATCATTTTCATCCTTGCTGTTTTAATCACGTGTAGACGGGTTTCTGAGAAATTTATGAAGTTATTTTTTTCGCTTTATAAACACCCCAATATTTATCACAACAAAATGACATTGCTATTTTTACTACAGAAGGACATTGCTAGGATCCTGGAGTATTTAAACACGTTAAATTTCTTTTAATGCCATCCGGATTGTTGTGTTGTTATTCACTTTGTTTATTGTTGTTTTTTGAGTTCGCAACTGTGTTTAAGGTGGCGTTTGCATAACCAGTCGACAAAGAAAGCGTTTCTAGTCCCACCCAAAAGTACCAAAGTAGTACCCCTGCTGGGTTGGCACTTTAGGTACTGGAACTTTAGGTACTGGAACTTTAGGTACTGGAACTTTAGGTACTGGAACTTTAGGTACTGGAACTCGACTGAAAGTCAATGGAAAAGCACAAGTACCAAAAGAACTTGGTTCTGTGGAAACGCACCCAAAGTGTTGCTGGATAGACACACTTTCAGATAATGCTGTAAGCTGCAGGGAAATGAAACGTTTAAGACAGGGGTCTGCAACTTCTTGTCCTGGAGAGCTACTATCCAGTAGGTTTTCTGTCCCACTTGGGTTCTGGCATTTACCAGAGAACAGGTGTGGCTCATCAGAAGCCGGGTATGATAGAAAACTTACTGGACGGTAGCTCTCCAGGACCGGAGTTGGAGACCCCTGGTTTAAGATAATGAAATGCACCGGGAGCAGCTGTGGATAGTGTCCCTTTCATGGGCTGATATGGTTTTGGTGAACAGTACCAGGTTAGGTGTTTTAAGAGCGTGATGTTGTTAGGTGTGTGCACACGCGTGTCTGTTAATGAAGGGTGACCAAGTTGGGGGTGCGGACCCCAGGTGTCCTCGCTGATGGCCTTTTCCATCTTTACCCGCCTCTGCGATGGTCGCTGGCAGAGCTCAGACCCAGCAGAACTGATGTGGTTACTGAAATTCTTGCACACACGCTCGCTCGCTCTCACTGGCTCGCCCACGCAGTGGTATCTGACAGTTTGCTGAGTTGTGATCGTGCTTCCCCCCACAAAACATACATTTTTAAAGATAAACTTGACGATTCTAGTTGTATGCTAACTGCAGTTTAGCTAAATAGCTACTTAGAAGTACTAGTGCATGCAGTCTTCACAGAAGGATGGCAAGCTTGTCCGCGCCGCTTTATCCGGGAAAGGTGCATGTGGATTTGCAGAATGGAGCTGCCTCGGCCTGGAGGCTTCTGAGTAATTGAGGGAGAGAGAAGCTGTCACAGGAGCTGACCTTTATTTACCAGCTGGCACATTCCCCGAAGCCCATGCAGTAGGCGTGTCTGCTCCCGTGGTCCCACTAGTCACGCCCACCCACCCAGGAGAGACCATCCAGTGCCAGCGTGTGGAGGAACCAGCCCCAGGCTACACGACGGGTGTAGGATCGTGCTCTGCCCTCTGTGGGGGGAGGGGAAGCAGTTCTTGCAGGTTTAGAACCGTAAAAACGTAATGGAATTTCGGAGCTGTCTGTCGCTTTGTGGCTCATATGATTGTCTTGATGTTCTATATCTCTTGAAATGGAAATGATCCTTTATTTGTCATTATACAAGTAGCCCTATATGTACATGGGAATGCATGCTTCTTGCATATCCCACATGCTCTTCTTAAAGACATACACACAAACACATATATACAGTATAGAATGAAAGTTCAGGCCATTTATCCAGTTCCTTTGGAGCATTTTTGGGGGATAAGGGCCTTGCTCAATGGAAATGTGTTTTAGTCCAATGGGCATGCGATTATTCTGCTGAGGCTGGGCCTTGAACCAGCGACCTTCTGGCACAGAGGCCTAAACCCTGAGCCACACACCACCTCCTCACCACTAAGTGGAACAGTATTGAAAATCACAAAGCTCAGATATACTAGGGGCGTCCTCCTGGAGATTCCTGACAAGACGCCCAGGGGCGGTGGGGCAGTGAGCAGATACTCGCTATTCAGCCTGCCAGAATTTATTGACGACGTGTGGAATAGCGGCCGGAGAAACCGGTAGCTGCCCTCCCTATCGCTCCCGTCCTGGATTGTAAAAGCCTTGTTTTGTGTGCTCTCTCATGCTTTCTCTCTCTTCTTTTCATTATCTGGGACAGCCCACTCTGGGACTGCGATAAATGGAGACGTAATTCCAGTAACACTCAGCAGGGGCATCCTTGGGGGGCTGTAAGAGTGTTAGCTCTGTCAGGAGTGGAGTGCGGGGGTGGCCGTGGGGTTTGGGGGGTGGGGGGGGGGGTTCGGCATTGTCTAGCTAATTCGGATTTATCTGTGGTAGCATCCTCCCAGCAAACAGGCCGTTGTTCGACATTCAGGCTTTCCATTCTGCCACTGTCGACGACGCTGCTTAAATGAAATATTGTCGGGCAAAATCTTAATTCTAGCTCCTGTTGATGCGGTATTGATTGGCGCATCTTTTACGTTTAATGGACGTGGCTGCTTGCTATCGACTCTGTGGCTTGCTGGCCTGCCGTGGAGCAGGATGGTATCACTGGGGTATTTTTATATCAGTGCCTCTGTCCCAAAAGAAGAACAGTGCAGCTTTGGGGAAATTGTCCTTCTTGTCCACTGTTGTCATTCTTCAGGCAATTTTGTCTTAAGGAGAAAGGAAAAAGGGACAGTACTTCCCTTATTCTGCAAGCTGCCAGAACAGCCCCACATCCACAGACGGCCTTCTTCCCCTTGCTCTTGCTGTATAGGGTTAGGGTTAGGGTTAGGGCTTTTTCAGTTCTCCCTCAGTTTATGGGCTGTAGCTATCCCATAAGAGCTGATCTGCATGAGAAATTTCAAAACTGTTCTACAGCACCGTGTTCACGGTCTGTTCACGGTCTGTTCACGGTCTGTTTACGGTCTGTTCACGGCTGTGTCTTTTAGCTTTTAGCGAGGGGCTACAACACTGGGGAACTAGTCCTGCAATGGAGAGGAGGGAGCAAATGGCAGAAGCCACTTACCTCGAGGACCAGTGAGGACGATCGCGGAAGGAAATGAGGTCTTTTCCTGTGGGAATCCTTCACCCGGCTGTAGGAAGTCTCCTGGGTCGGTGGGATCTGCAGAGGAAGTGTCTCCTTTCTGGACAGGAAGTGGGTCGCATAGCGAGGGGCAGGCCTGGTCTGTCGCTCAAGGTCGAGCGGCACTGAGCGAGGCGAGAGGGAAGCCTTCCACAGATATGGTGACACTGGAAACGGAAAATAAAAGGCCTTGTTTTTCAAAACACTACATTAGGTATTTTCACCGTTGACCGATCTTGCAAGCTGTGTGGCTGGACTTATTTTGCATCTTTTCTGGAAAATTTTGCATAGTTGAGTCTTGGATGGGGTAAACCTGGTTTTGTATTTAACATTAAACTTACTTAAAGGTTATGCAAATTGAAGGGCACTAACTGAACACATTAGTGCTTCTGCCTGTGCTTGTAAATGGCTATAGTTCTTTAAAGTTTGAAATTTTCGTCTCATGCTGATCTCATTTCAGACTGGCAGCATCAAGGGGGGCTGATTACCATGGAAATATGTAAATCGAGGCATGATATGAATGCTCCTGCACGCTCCACGAATACCAGCCCTCTCCTCCAGGTCTCACTCCTCCTCAAACGGTCGGCCTGCTCCGTTCCCCTCACATGTGTTTGGTCCCTTATTCCTGCCCTCATTGCTTCTGTCACCAGAACTATGTCTTCCTTAACTGACCCCTATCACCAAAAAAGAAAAAAAAAAGCAATTTGAGAGCCTTGGTATCTTAATGCTTGTTTGACACTGGCTGTCCATTAGTTTTCCTTGTTTTGCATCCATTGTAGATTCTGGAAGGTTCTGCTTTTGGTCTCATATCTCTTTGTTTTTAAGCTATGGCAATGATGTAGTCACCAAAGGAGGCATAAGAGGGGCCATAATTCATACTGAGTGATCAACCTTATCATTAGCCAATGATATGTTTTGAATTGGTGAGTGATGGGGATTGGGGGGGGGGGCACTGCAGGGACCAATCAGCTTTAAGCTGTTATGTTTACTATTATGGTTCTACCCGGTATTAAAGCAGAACTTCACTGTGGTGAAAATAGCAGTAAAATTATCTCCGCTCCTGCTGTCGCTGCACGTTTGTTTACACCACAGAAAATGATTAAAAAAAATTTTTTTGTATCATTCTCGACTGTTTGAATCGTCAGAGTCTTTCATGCTGTGGCAGCAGATGTTGCGAAAAAATGGGCGGGGAGGAGCCGGCGTGGACTGGGAGGTGGCGTCTGAGTGGGGGCGCCCTGCCCCTCTGCAGTGCGGACCTGCCGGTGGCCTCACGCAACTCCACATCACCCCGCCCTTCGCAGGAACCCTAAGCGAGTCCCGATGTGCCTTTGAATATCTTACACAACAACAGGATGTGACTCTGCGTTCGTTTATGTCAGCCTGCCCGCGAGGTTGTAGTGAAGGTGAATCAGACATTATTTTTAAAATCGTTTTTTTCCTCCCTGTACTCCAGTGAAGTGTTATCAGGTTTGTGCAGGTGGCATCATCTCACCCTGAAATGTCCTGCAGTTCCTTCTGGCCTGATGGTTTTCTCAGGTCCTGCCTAGTGACCTTGTGTAGGATCCCTGCATGCTACACTGGGTAGGTGTGACAGTGATGCTCTTTTTCCCTGATCCCCGCTGGAGGTGCACCGCTGGGCAGTCGAAAGGCTGTCACCGCTTTATGGTCCTGTGACGGATGACCCCTCGGGTTGGGCTTGACGCATGGGGAGGCTTTTCGTCACAGGTGTTTGAGACTAATGAACGGCCAGGCCTGCATAGTGGACGGCCAGGCGAACCAGAGGACGTTGGTTTAGATGGAGAGATTCTCATCTCAGGCATATTGTTGCTGAAACTGTGTAGCTGTGTGTCAGACCTTGGCCCAAACTGTCGAGACCCAGACCGAAAACCTATTACCCATTAATTTTTTGTACGTGGACAGATTTTGCAGTAGATGGTGATGGTGATGGCAAAACATGGGTTCTGCAAAATTCAGTTATGAGACAGTGTTGCGTGGAAGGTGACACACGGCCAATTGGCATTCCTCTCTCAGCCCGCGCACAGCCAGTTTCTCAAGGTGGGGGGGTCGGGGGGGGGGGGGTTTGGCCCAGGCTGTCAGACCCTGCTGGGTTCGGGAAAATCTGCATTTAACTGTGGTTGTACAGAGGTTAGCACAGCTGGACGCTGGGCTGCTGGAACTTCTATTGTTTATGGGGACTGCTGGGAGTCAAAGGCGGGACAATAATATGTGAGTGCGTGTGTATTTGTCTGTGTGTGTATCTGTGTGTCTATATGTATGTGTATATGTCAGTGTGCGTATATGCCTGTCTGTTTGTGTGCATGTATGTGTATATGTCTGCCTGTGTGTGTGTGCGTGCGCTCATGTGTGTGTGTATTTGTCTGTGTGTGTATCTATATGTATGTGTATATGTCTGTGTGTGTGTATATGTCTGTGTATGTATATGCCTGTGCATGTGTGTGTGTGTGTGTGTGTGTCTCTATATGTATGTGTATATGTCTGTGTACGTATATGCGTGTGTGTGTGTGTATGCTGGGAGGGGTTCCGCCCGTCTATTTTAAGGCCGGCCCCATGGGTCTCTGCCTGCCCCACGCTCCCCCAGACGCTCCCCGGAGAGGAAGGAAGCCATTGACATCTTGTTCCAGCTTCCCCGATTCAGAACCCCCTGGAGCCCGGAACCGGTGCCAGGGCTCGGAAGTGTCACATCCAGAATCAGACACGGCTTGCGGGACAGAATCTGGGCATATCAGGCACCGGGTTACTCTTGCGGCGCTGGGCAGTGTGGAGGCGAGAGCTGGTAACACTGGTAACACTGGTGTAGAGCACTGTCAGGACTTAACTGTCTGCTTTAAGTCTCTGTCATACTCATTATTAACAACACCAGGACGTAAAGCTAAAAATAAGACAAACTACCGATTTTGTAAGGATTCAGTCTGTCTTTATATGTGATGTGTGGATTTAAATGGGTCATTTCTGCTTAATTACTGCTTGCATGTTAACACTAGCGGTTGTGGTTGGGTCTGTTGTCTCCATGGCCCAGCTTCATGCCCCCAGCGTCGCCATTCTGTGGCTGGCATCTTGCAACCACTTGATGTTTCTTAAACCCGGGACTTCAGCCTGTTCCCATGAAGGAGAGCGGCCAGGCCTAAAGGGGCAGGCCGCGTACAGCCAGGATGCCCGATGACGCAATTCAGTTCCGTGTTGCTCTCTGCAGTTTTGTGTCACACGCGGAGTTCTGAATTTACTGGGGAGCTGAATTTGTGTTTGAAGCTAAATATATCCCTGCATATCGCACTCTGTGGTTCGCTTTGGTTATTGCGTGCCTGGTTTTCTTCAGAACGGCTCCTGTCTCACAATTTCTCACAGAAGAGTTTTACACGTTCTTCACGACTTTGTACGCTACTTTATATGCTTAGTATTCATGACCTCATACTTTTTCCCTTAAACCTGTCATTCATATTTTAATTGATCTTGTGCCTCATGCGGTGAGCTGTGTTTTTTTTTTTTTTTCCTTTTGAGAATTTTGATCAGATGATGATAATTTCCTTCGTCGCTGACTACAGAGGTTGGCTGAGGTTTGGGGGTGGGGATGTTGAGAGTGTGAGTGGCGGTCTTGCATATGGACCAACCACCCACAGTGCACCGTTACCCAGAATGCCTACTGCAGCCTGCTCTCAGTTTTAATACCCCCCCTTTCGAAAGCATGCCTTGCTGGCCAGGAAGTCACAAGCAGCTAGACCCCCCCCATCCCCCGGCCCACACCTCCTTGTTCTTATTATTCTCTGCTGGTTGCTAAGCAATAAGGATAACCGGAAAGAAGAGGATCCCCCCCCCCCCGATCGGCTCTCGTGGCCTGTTTGTTTGTTTCTTCTTTTTTCATTTTTCAGGCTAGAGAGAGCAGTACTTTGTTCTGTCTTTTTTTCTCTCTCTCTCTCCACGGTTCTCCCTCGAGTTGGGCACCTTGCACTGGTTCCCGTGGCATGGGTGGCATCCGCCAGTTGTATAAACGTGATGAAACGCTGTCCGGCTTTCAGGGCCGGGCGTGGCCCCGTCGCTCACTCGTGTGTGAAGTGCGTCACCCTGCCTGCAGACGTTAGTAAGAGCTCAGGTATTTAATTGTGGATTTTAATGAGCTTGGCGGGTTTTACACGTGGACTTTGTCTCCTCCTTGCCCAGCCCGAGGCCCGGAATTCACTGCACCAGGCATCCTTGGGTGATGCCGGTTGGGGAGGTAGGGGACGCTCTGCGAGTTAGACTTCTGTGCCTGGTATCGGAAGGTCGCCAGTTTTAATCCCATGCTTGGTAGGATACTCACATGACCCCTGTAAAATGCTCCATGGGTCCAGGAAGAAAGGCTGACCGTGTGCTCAAAGTCCAAGCTTCACTCATACCTGTATTTATTTGTGCGTATGTCTTAAAGGAGAGCAAAATGCAATAGCGAAATCTAAAGAATTTCAAAGTACCTTATGCTTGTTTCATTTCATTTCACTAGTTTCTAAAAGACTATTTCCAATGTGATCTGAGCTATAATATGTCATGTCCGGCCTGTAACTAATTTAACTGCACTTTACCAGGAGTTCCGGATCGTATCGCTAACCGCTACGTTAGCCATACAACTTGACGGATCATGTGTTCCTGTGGGTAGAATCCTGCACTCTTTTGGCCAACCAGGACACTTGGAGGTCACCACCTGCTCTAACCCATAACTGCTTCCCTGTAAAATCATACCCCGTAAATCTTTGCCAAACCCACAGCCAGGCTCTGCATCCTGCTCCCATTCACACTCTGTGTCCTGCTTTCTGCCATCACTATACCACCACCTGCCTCATCTCCTTGGCACTGCCTCGCTCCCTCTTGAAACGCTGCCATTGGCTTCCTTTCTCCTAAACCTCCATCCTCCTGTCTAACCAGGCTGTTCAGGCGCCTCTGTGGGCTGCCTGAGAGGCTAGCCCAGCCTGGCACTCATTATCTGCGTTTAGTGGTCTTACAGATACTACAGTGCCTTGGTAGTGAATTTCCCATAATCCAAAGCATTTAGCAGGTTAGCGTAATTGATATACAGCTACCAGTAAATGCTAGCTTGTTGGTTAAAAAATATGGTAGAATGTGCCTTGGAGGGGTTTGTGGGGAAAATTCCCACCCCCAAGAGGATCTAAAGAAAGAGTAGGCTCTGTGTTTCTGTGTGTGTATGTGTGTGGGTTGTCATGTGACCTGGGAGCAGCAGTGTGCTCCTGCAGACCCTCCCTAACATGGGGAGGCTTGCAGATGTGCCCCTGCATTTGGCACTGCTCCAGTGATCCATCTCCTCAGTGTAGATCCTAATGTACCTCCCATGCATCTGCCTGTTGGCTCCCTGTTGGGGTGGCAATTGGTCGGGTTTTATTTTGCACTTCGGAAGGTGTCTGTCTGCCATCGAGTCGCGGTCCTCATGTCTGCGTCCTTCCTGTCTGTCCCCACAGGTCCCGGTCGCACACTGTTTTGGTCCGTCGGGACACAAGAAGAGGTTCTGCTGTGTGTGCCGCAAGTCCCTGGAGGGCAGCCCCGGCCTGCGATGCGAGGGTGAGCCTCCGACCTTTTGGCTGCGCTTTCGGGAAGCCCTTCCTTTCAGAGCCTGCTTTAGGATGGGAGCTGCACAGCGCACGCATTACAGATACTCCTCCATTCACCATTGCTCGACTAGCAATATTTCAACCTTATAATGGTGCGACAGCGGTGCACATTCAGTACTCATCAAACTTTCAATTTCGATCTTTTCCTGGGCTATATATGCTGTACGATACTTTCTCTTGCTGCTGGGAGATGTTAGCGTCCGCCTGGCCTCGCTTCCAGTCCGTGTAGCGATCATAAGGAGAAACGTCTCATACGGTGTTTAAAGACGTATCATACAGTGTTTTTTTACTGTTTAACCAAATCACTTGTTCATTTTACTTTTCAGTCACTGTTATTTAGTTACAGTAATTATTTATTTACTTATTCAGTGGCAGCACTTATTCATTTACCTATCATATCATATTCATATTCGACTTACGATATTTTGTACTTACGATGGGTTCTTTGGAACGTAACAGCATCGTAAGTCGCAGCACATCTATGTATGTAATAGATGGTAATATAAGCACCACTAACTGGACTCAAGGACCCGTAATGCAGCCATGTGCTGTTATCTGGGACACACCAGTGGGCTGGACAGGACACCAGGGCCCTGGAGTCTGCATCACCCAGCCATCTGCAAAGACACCGCTAGCCTGTTAAAAGGCAAGGGTGGGGTTGCTATGGTAGCAGTGAATGACTGTTTCAATGGTTGGCGAACAAGCAGCGATGATAGATGCTGTGTGGCTCCATAATGCTGATTTTAGATTTAATATATTCTGCTACAGGGCACTTTACATTTAAACAGAACTGTTTAATTATATTAGATTAATTATAACTAGTCTGAATTAATTTGCTCATTTTACTTGTAACCGTGATTCTCACTGTGGCATCAGTTTTTTCATGTATAAGATTAAGGTGAAAACATTTTTAATTCAGGGTTAATGCAACACCAACTAACAACAAAAGGGTTTGGGTGTTGATATGCACTTTATCTTATACAATGAGCGACTGCAACATTTTGTCCTGAGAGCTAAATGGACCCTTTACAGCAAGGTCAAAATCCTGCAGATATGGAAAATATGCGCATGGGGCATCTGGCGTGTGATCTCCGGTAATGATTAACTTCTCGTATTTCTCTTTATATTAACGAGCCTGTCCTTGGCCTGCTTCTCAAGGCCGCGAGGTCGACCTTTTCAGTGGATGCCGTAGCACAGCTCCCCCATGTGGAATGTTTCTCTTCTTACAGTGTGCGAGTTCCACGTCCATGCCGACTGCGCCCCGTTCAGCTGCAGCGGCTGCCGTCTCTGTCACCAGGATGGGAGCCTGGACTATGTGAGTGGCCGTTCTTCCACTCCATACCTACTCCCATTTCAGTAAACGTGGGCAGTGTGTGACTCTGCGGTTCTGGACCATGTGAGTG